GCAGGAGAGAGGATAGGTGGGGCTGGCAGGCAGAGAGAATAAACAGAAGGAGAAATCTCTGAGGTAAAGGAGAAAGAGAGAACAAGGATCGAGAAAAGAAGGCACCAGCCACCAAGCCACACAACCAGCCATGGAGTAAGAGTGAAAGTAAGATAAACAAGAAAAGAAAAAAGCCCAGAGGCAAAAGGTAGATGGAATAAGAAAAGCTAGCTAGAAATAAGCCAAGCTAAATCCAGGCATTTATAACTAAGAATAAACCTCCATGTATGATTTATTTGGGAGCTGGGTGGAGGGCCCCCCAAAAGAGCAAAGAGTAAAGCCAACAACAGAATACATTACAGCGAGCTCCTGTGTCCTGGTATCACAGTGATGAGGCAAGCTCTTGATTCAGCCTTCCTCTCCTAACCAGTTTTCCTTGGCCTTCTCAGGAGAACACTCAGTGTCAGTGTTGTCACCAACCTTTACTGAGATAAACAACAAGCTGGGAGGTTCTGTTGTCATCTTAAACAAAACAAACACAAACAGAAAACGAGCCAAAAAGCAGCCCTGCTCCTGCTGGAGCCTCTTCCGCCTTCCTGGATAAAGAAAGCTGACGTCTGCCCCATGGAACCTGTGCACTGCAGTCTGGTTTAAAACCATCTGCTCTCTGTATACTTCAGAACTTACTTCCCACTTTATTCCCATGTCCTTCAAGTTCTGGGCTGATCAAGTTTCTTTTATATACAAAAATAAAGCAATTTTTTCAAAAACAAAAAAAAATCTACTTATGATTCTTATATATAGCCACAGGAAAATATAACATGTAATTTTTCACTATCTTTTTTATATCTTGAATATCACATGTTCTTTTGTGTGTGTTGCTTTTTGTTTGTTTGGTTTTTGTGAGACTGGTTCTTGCTGTGTAACCCAGGCTGGCCTCACAGTGAATTCTGTCTATACCTTACATATCTCATGACCACAAGCATGTGTCACTATGATGGCTATTCTTGGTTGTCAGCTTGACTACATCTGGAATGAACGACAATCCAGAAATGGAGGGCACACTTGTGATCCAGATTTTGAGGCAGGAAGACAGCATGACTTTTGATCTGGGCCACACCTTCTGCTGGAAGCCTGTGTAAAACAATGGAAGAAGGAAGGGTTTGCTCAGCCTTCACCTGCTTGCCCTCCGCTTGTCAGCACAGCCATTCCTTCACTGGCGCTGGAGCCCGCTTCTTCGGGATTCCAGCATCTACAGAGGACCAGCTGAGACACCTCATCTCTAGGGACTGAGCAACTACTAGATTCTTGGACTTTGCATTCACAGCTAGCCATTGTTAGACTGCAGCCTGTAAGTCATTCCAATAAATTCCATAGATATAGATATAGATATATAGAGAGGGAGGAAAGAAGGGTGGAAGGGAGGGAGGGGAAGGGAGGAAGGGAGAGATCCATATAAGTTCTATGACTCTAGAGAACCCTGAATAGTATAGTCACCATGCCCAGAATAATTTGTTTGTAAAAACAGCTTTTTAAATCCATGTTGATTCCAGCATCTGTTTCCTTCATTTTTTATATCAGATAAGCTAAAAAAAAAATCTAGAGGACGCATTGATTGGCCAGTGTCTCCATCTGCCATTTTTATGAGTTTACAAATAGTGTGATCATTTTCATTAAGATTTTTTGTCATTTTGTCATGTCCAACCAGTGAAACTCTTCTCAGTTAAGTGTAGAACATGAATCCATGAGATAAAACTGACGATTCAGACATAAAACCCATGCAACTACAAACACCTGATTTTTGACAGTGATGCCAAAAATAGGAATCAGATAGAAGGTTTCTTCAGCAGATGGTGCTGTGAATGCTGAGTTTCCAAATGCAGAAGACTACGCCTGGATCCTTGTCTCTCACCCTGCACAAAGCTCAGTTCCAAATGGATCAGGACTGTGACTTAAGACCTACTACCCTGAATCTGACAGAGGAGAAGGAAGAGAATGCTTCACCTGAAGGCCTCGAGGAAGTTCTGAACAGGACCCCAGCAGCACAGGGGGTGAGCCTAACAACTGACAGACAGGACATCAGGAAACGGCAAAGTCTCTGTACCCAAAGGAAAGCAACTGAGTGAAGAATAGAACCATATCTATCCACGCGTCTAATGGGAGACTAGTACCTAGAATACAAAGATGTCGTGATTTGAAAAGAACTGTATTTTACAGCACTGGAAGTGGTGTAGTTATGCAGCTGAGAAGCTACAACTGAATTATACACATAAAAGCAAAAACCCAGGTGACAGGCAAGTAAATCTCTGTAAATTTGAAGCCAGCTGATCAAAATAGTGAGTTTCAGGACAGTCGGGACTACAGAGAGAGATGCTGTCTCAAAAAAAATAAAAATAAAAACAACTGGGCTGTATATATCAAGTCAGTGCATCTACAGTTAATCTCCTTGCGGACTGTCTTGGGTGTCATCATGGACCCACTTTGCTTCTCATGGTGTGGTATACGATTGTGGTGGTTTGAATGAAAATGGCCCCAATAGGCTCAGGGAGTGGAGCTATTAGGAGGCATTGCATATCCCAAGCATTCAATAAGAGAAAGACAAAAGTACAGGTCTCACTGCCCCATGATAACAAAAGGACATGTCCTTCTGCTCTGTGATGGACAGAAACAAAAGTACGGAGGACTAAGGAGCAAAGCAGAAGAAAATTCCAAGAATGGACAAGTCAAGTTCTGCAAATGCAAAGAAGAAAGAGTTATAACCACTAGGGTAAGACTGGGGAGGAGCTTCCCAGGAGAGGAACACTGCTCCATCCCTGGACTAGGCAGAAGGACATGGAGAGAACAGGCTGCAGATGGCCTGTCCACCAGCACACTCTCCTACCAAAAGCACAGTGGGGTGCACAGCACTGCTCCACAGCCCCCACTGCCATAGTCTGCACTTGCTGTGACCTCCCACCCAGGTCCTCATCCACTCATCCTTAATCTAGGCCTTCCAATGGCCCCCATTACATATCCTTCACCTAATGACGGGACCTTATCTTGGCAAACCCACTGTGCATTGAAAATATTATAGGTCAAAACTCATTAAGTACACACAATCCAATAGCCAGCCTGGCTCATAATGTAGTGTGATGCAGAGCATGGGCTGTTCACCCTCCCGATCAGGACGGCCGGGATCTTGAGATCCTGAGATACATGGGTTTAGCTCAGGAAGATCTAAATTCAGAATTTGAAGTGTGGCTTGCATGAAACACAGATCACTTTTGGAGCATGGTGTGGCAGCTAG